AATGTTTAAAGTGCTAAGAAATTCGGAATCTTTCTCAATGTTTTAACATTCTCCCTTATGTTAAATACCACTAGTCCACTTTCCAAAGGACTCAATTATAAATTTAATAGCTTAATGTTCTTAAACTCGTTTCATGGTCCTTTCAAAGGGACATAACATGTTTTACGAAAGAATGTAAACTTTGTAGGTAGAATTTTTTCTTTACTGGGATCTAGGGCTAGGACACGTAGTAAAGACACGACAGGAAAATCAATAGCCAATAAAAATGTTAACTGTTCACTAAGCTATTGACAAAGTATTATCACTGACGCCACCCTTAACTTGTTAACACTTACTATCTCAGTTATGTGAAGGTGAAAACTTTGTGTAGAAAGGGGTTGCAACATTAAAATGAATCGACGAAATAGATCGTATTCAAATTTTTCTAGCAAAATAAAAGATTTCTTTTGGGAAAATATGTTAGCAATTGTCTTAACTGTGTTTTGGGGAATTTTATTGAACGAAAAAAGATAACATGATTTGAAAAATGCAAATTTATGTGCAATTAATACAGTTTTATTTCTTGTTTGAAAATTTCTGCGACATGACAGCAATTTTATCAGCAATAGCATATCGTGACTTCAATAGAAACTTGTCTTTTTGTGGCGGTCTAAAGCAGTAGTTTTTGAAATACTAAAGTGTAATAAAGTTTATGTAACACAAAAAATATTATATAAAAAATGGAGCAAATGCCAATTTTTCTTTTTTATGGAAAATAAACGAAGTAAAAAGATCCTTTCATATGAAATGCAATACAATTAAAGTACGAAGAAGAAAATAAAAGCAAGCGTAATGAAATAAAATGAAATATTAACCGTATATCCAAGTAGTATTTACAATTTTACTAAATATAGATTACTTACATTGTTTTATATTCTATTGTGTCCTTTGATGATATGACTTGTAGGAGACTAAGAATCAATATGACAGTTTAAATCGCCGGCGGATAGCCACCGCCCTTCTATCCCACGCAGATATTTATGATATCAGATATGGGTCAATAAAAGGAAAGCCCAAACTTTATAGACAGGTAGAATACAAAGTAGATTCTAGCTTTAAAAGCTCTCTAGAACAGGGCAGAACAAACATTTGGATTTATAGATTATTTTTCAGCATACCTTATAGATTAATAATAAACTTCCCCCAAAATATAAATGTGATCGATATAATTAAAGTATCAGTTTGTCCGTTTGTAAGGTCTCTTTACATTTCGAGAACTGGCAAGTTGACACATGGTTTAAATCAACATTTATAGCAAATATTTCTGATTTACTTTCCCAGTGACAATAAATAATTTTTTATTTTACACATTACGGTAATTTCATTTTTCATTGAGTAGATTTAATTTTTTTGATCTGCGAAATGGATTTTAAACCGTGAAATCATATGTACTCTAAAGGGAAAAATGATGGTTCCCATCAATTTTTCTTGATGTGCATTAATGGATTTAAATGCTGTCAAATGTGGTATAAACATCCTCTAAACATAGACGGACCTCGATCATGTACAAACAAGGGAGTCAGCTTACTTCGGACACTAACACAGATAACGGCTAAAATTAATCCTTGATTTAGTATTTACTAACATTCTGATCAATCCGCCAAACCAATGTGTCCTCCAAAGAGAAAGAAAACAGACGATGTTTTACAAGTAAAGCATGATTTTAAAAAAAAACTAGCACTACCAACCTTTCTTTTTAATAAAAAAAAATGCATATATAGATACAACCTGGTTTGCATAAAAATGCAAAATCAAAATAAATGAAAAAAATATGTTCCTTACAAAGCCTTCGCCTATAGTTCACCAATTAATTAAAGTCTAAAAATATGCTTAAAAAGTGGATGAAAAAAATATTTGCCAGCATATCTAAATTCCATTTTGCATAAAAGAGGAAGAAGAAAGAGAGCGATAGATCGTTAAAAACATTGCCATTCAACTTTTCCTGGTAAAATACTGTGCAAATCTAACAATATAAAGCTTGGAAACACACAAATGATAAAACTTGTCACATTATTTCCGTTTAATATGCACACATCTGTTTACATTTGCGTTCAACTGTTCAAATTGCCGGGTAACCTAACAATCCAATATATATTTTATATTGCATATTCTACTACCTGTCAGTCCATATGGTCTTCTCTGAACACCTGTGACTGGGGCTGGGACGTTGTCTGTAAACCTTCCGACAACGTTACCAGCAGGTCTGTAGTTCGCGACGACAATAATTTTCCCATCTTTCGAACATGCTCTTCCGACTCCAATTTCCCTGCTTCCTCTCCAGATAACTTGTGTAAAATGTCCTTTAAATAGTGATAAAAAAAGTACATTGTACATTGTCTCTTAAATAGAAATAAAAAAAAGAAAGCTTTTGTATTTTCATAGCTTATTTGCAGCACCAGGGTAGTACTGTGTATACTTTATCAAAGCAGCGCTGTATCGTCAACTAAAGGTACAATGTTTATCGATATCAAGTACTCGTATGTCATTAATTTTAGCAACATTAAGCGATGTATATTTTTTAAAATCAATGATATTTAAGAAATAAATAACAAGTTTATAAACTTCAATGGGAATTGAAGTGGGTCGGTCACGTGATCAAATCCTGTGAAGGCCGAAGGCCTTCTCAGAAGATTTGATCACGTACCGACCCACTTCAATTCCCATTGAAGTTTATAAACTTGTTATTTATTACTTATATATACATTTGAGACAGACAATTGAATATTTTCGAATTTAAATTATTGCACTAACCGTCCGTCGTAGATTTTGAAAAATGACGCAAGGTGTAAATCGGCTTGCATGGCGGTTACGCTTCAAATTCATTAGGCTAAGGAATCTATTTCAAAGGGAATATTTTGTGAAAGGCTACTTGTGATCAGTAATAGTGAACAGATTGTTGTCTGGGAATATTTGATTCGTGAAAAATGATAATCGATGCTGAAAAGACACAAGAAACACGTCCGAAGTTTGATGATAAAAAGTTAGAGGAATTTCGGTCGCTGGAATTTGCAAAGGGATGGATCCGATGGAATGAGACACTTGTCCGAGCCTGTTAGGATTTGCAATTTGATCAAAAACATTCCACGGTTTCAGTAACTAAAGGCATACTTATCATAAAACAATGATAAACATGGAGACACTGGCGACAGCTTTACATTGAACTACGAAAACGCCGAGGAGTTCGGCAGCTGTTCATGGCATGATTGCAAAGATGTTTTCCAACAGATCTACACATTTATTGTGAGTAAAATTTAAAGATAAAATAAAAGTTTATCATGAAAATTTAACCAAAGGTCTATCCAAAAAATAAGGATGAACGTTAGAGACTGTGCAGCTGACAAAAGTGAAGAAAAATGTAAACAAACGCTAGGCTCCTAGTTTTCTCTATGTTACACAGGTTGGATTGATAGCCCCAAAACTGTATGAAATACTTGTTTACATTTAAAATAAAATAATTATCATTTTACTTGCTTATTTTATTCATTTTTATACATGATAAGCAAGTAGAGCAGTTCATTTTATAATTTATGTACCGGTAGATATTATTGCGCCGTGTGATTAGGTCACGTATTGACCTCTGACCTCTGACAAACTTCATACAGAATTGAAGATATTTTCTCTCTGTATGTTTATATAATGGAGAGATACCACAAATGTATATATTGAAATTTTGCATACTAGTATACTATTACATTTGGAATAAAAGATTTAAAAAGATGTTTAACTGACTATTCAGGGTAAGAGTCAACTAACAATTACATTGTAAGACAACTGGCTTTTCCATCATAAACTTTCATTATTTAAATACTGTTATATTCCATTATCACCCATTTATTATGTTTATGTCTTCCAACTTATTCGCTACTTAATAGCTTGGTCTGAATACGATCATTTTTTTTTGTAAAAGTGAGGCATGTTACACAATGATAAGTTGATGTTACAGGGCTTTCAACAACCCTTATCACAGTCAGAATTTCGTAAATTTTATAATCGGTGTAATGACCTTGTTAGCAAATGTAAATACAACTTATCACTGGGTCGTATTTTTTGGCACACTTGTTCATTCTAAATTTTATGCTAGATTTTACCATGAACTTATCCATTGAATCTATAGGGCTCACGGCGGTTGTGTCCCCTCGTCAACAGTGATGTTTACTCCTCCCAGGGACCTGATCCTTCCTCTGAGATTTTGAGAGGTCTGTATTTAAACCCTTTCTCAGATTCCATTGAGATCAATCACTGTTCAATGCCGTCACCTTCTACATTATATAATCAGTGATACCAATGTATGGGTATCTTTTTTAGTCAAACGTGTAATGATATTGTTAGTGGTTTACAAAGTATTTCATTCACATGTATCTTAACGGTGGGACTTGCCGAACATGATGTTCGTGTACCCTGATTGCTATTGAAAGTAGGATAAAATAAAATCAAACAATACAAAATTAGGCGCCACATTTAGGAAAGTCAATACCCCCATCTGTTGAGGAACAAGGAATCTAAAATAGATTGTGAAGGTAAGGTCAATATGGGCTTGTTTACACTGTGAGATATAGAGAGAGGCTTTTGAGTAGGAAGAATGCGTTGAATGAAACGACATTCATAAGATTTAAAAGGTATTGTTAGTAATAATGGAAAATTATCAACTCCTAAGGGCTCATATCTTCCGTATGATGTCTTTTTTAAAAAAAAATTAAAGTTACGTAATTGTACAGATTGAAAATTTAACTATACTCAATATTCCAAATGTTTAATTCCTGAACAAGAGGGATTTTTGTCAGTAAATGAAAAAAATGCATAAAAATTTAAACAAAAAGTTACTTTTTTCCTATGTAGAAGCCAAACTTTAACAATCTTTTCAGAAGAGATGTAAATAGAAGACTTCACTATACGGAATTTAATGATCTTATTTCTTCCTATGATATAATTGGTTTGACCGAAACTAGGAAACTAAGTTGATAAAACTAGGAAACTAGGAAATTAAGTTGACTAATAGTATTGTCTGTTCTCCTTAACTATAACCTTCTGCTAGACCCACTGTATGATATGTATATATCTTTTATATGTTTTTGTACCTCATGTACCATTTACACGGTTTTTAGTGAATAAATTGATTAATTGATTGATTGAGAAATACCCAGTAATGCTTCCTGATAAAAACTAGCGTCGTAAATTTAATTGGATGATTTTCAAAATACTGTATGATTGAATCTTAATTAAGTGGCTCTTCGTGGAAAAGATTAAAATAACTAATAGTGTTCGATCTTAAGAAAATGTACAAATAATCCAACTCTGTAAACAGTACGTGAAAAACACAGCTGATTCCCTTAAACTCCGGAGGAGGGACCTTGTGGGTACCCTGCCTTTGCCTAAAAATGATCAGACTCAGAGTGTGTTCTTTACTATCGAATAGAGTGGGAGATATGAACACAAAATGTAGGTGAAAGCAAAATATTACATTATCAATAATAAAATTTGATGATGGAAAAGCTGAAATCATCTTGATTGTCATACAATTGACTTGTTTGTAAGCCCAAAGTTTGTTTTGATATATCGAGTCATTTGTAACACAAAAAATAGTATATTGAATGGAAATTATTGTTGTTTGATAAAATGACGTTGATGTATCTAAATGTTGAAATGAAGGTCACAGCAAGTTTTTTTTTTCTTCTCACGTGGAAGTATTTGAATAAATTTTGCTTCATATAAAAGAAAATAAAAAAAGGTTGGTTAAGTTAGTGCCTATAGGAATTCCAACAGTTTGATCGAAGACTTGTTCTCCGAAAACTGCATAAATGCTGTCAATTAGGAACTCCAGCATTCTTTTATATATTATTTAAGATTATTTGAAAGTAGAATCAAATCGATTTTAAACAAAGTAAGTTCATTCTGTTTATTACTTAGTTACCTCACTCATTTGCAAGTTCATGATTTTCAATTTCTTGATAATACAATTTCTTATGATACTTTTCAAGTGTATGTATATGTCCGGTAATGTTTGCAGATTTCTAAAATTTTCACCTGTATTTCACATGCTAATTGTATTACCTGCTGAAAGGTTCCTGGGCTCAGTGCCGAAGTTAAAGAATTTTATTTCACTGTACCATTGGTCTGTTACCTCTTGACCTGCAAAAGATTGATGCTTTGTTTATTATTACTAATTATCATAATGGTAAAATCATCCTTTATTGTTGTTTATTCATTATTTATTTTCAAGAGCATTTAATACGAGTGTATGCATACATATTTGAAAGAATTTTTGAAAATAAAATACATTACAAGTGCGTATATTTGATTTTTAAAAAAAATTAATTTATTAATCTAGAAAGTAGTAGTTAAAGCAATTTTACAAGATAAAAATTTTAGTTTCTAAACATGTGTATAATATAAAATCACATTGAAATGTATTATAAAATCACTTGCACTAAATAAACAGAACCAGTAAGTCCATGTAATTCTAAATTAACTATTTTATTTCTTATTTTATGATGTTTATCGCTGTCTCTTATTCAAAAGTGCACTCTGACATAAATTTGACCAAAAAACAATATTGTCTCTTTTCACCAGGGTATGAATCCTGTGGATTAGAGGACCATTTCATGGCTATATTTTCCCCCAGCCTTTCCCCTTTTAATGAGGCATTGCTGTGTTTGAAGGTGTTCGTTTGAGCCAGAACCTCTGCCCATCTTTGAGCTTGTGTAGATAAATCGGACGCATGCGTCAGAGGCTGCACGCTATGTTTCTTTCTGTACTCATTGTGACTGCGGATTACCTCGTCCGTAAACTGGGAATCACTTTTCTGAAATAAAATACATCATTATCATTATTATTATTTAAATATCACATGATTAATATTTTAAAGCAATATGAGCTGCAACTTTGATATTGGAATTTTGCTTCAAATTGTAGATAACTATTTCAATGACAGAAAAAATAATGTTAATAAACTTCATTTTTGCGATGGAAGAACTATAATTCATAAGCTTCGATTGAATCAAAATCATATTATTGTCCGTCCTCTACATTGATAATTTCCAATATGAAACTGTACATAGAATTTTATATAGCAGTCTTTCTTCTCCTTTTTTAGTCTTTAATTGATTATAAAGGTTTAAGTTATATACAAATTTATCATATTAACACATTTTAACAGCAAAATAAAATATAAAGTTTTACATGCATTTTTATAAACTTTGACAACAAATGGAGGACAACGGTGTATTTTACGCCTCACTATGCAATCAAGGAAATTAAGATCTTTTGGCTATTTGTTTTGCTATATAAAAGTGGTTAGGTGAAAACTTTGCTCAAGATTGACAAAAAAAAATATTCATAATATGTCTAAATTTTGACTGCAATAGTTTATTTCTTAATTCATAAGAAAATAACAAATCGACCTGCTCAATGGTTTAATGCGACACAAAGGTATAATTGTTTGAGAGAGTACTATTTCATACCATATAAACTTCTAAGGTTAACTTCAAACTCCGAACTTGATAAAACTTAGCCTTTAGTACAAATGATTCATTTTAAAAGTACACTGAACGTATTGTTTCATTTTTTTCATACAAAAATACCTACATTACAAATGCACCATTACTTATATAAATCCATATCCCTACCTGATTTGAGGTACCTGTCTGCCTGACCTGAACCCGGTAACTGGTCGAATACATTCGAACATGAATTTTGTTTCTAATGTCTTTAGGTGAATTTGACACAAAAAAAAATTCGGCCCACTTAAAATAAGACGGAAGTAGACAACGGAAAACTTAAATGTGTTATTATGTTGAGGACCATTAACTTTCTATGGAAGACAACCACTGAAATATTAGAAAGGCATTAAGGATGGGACATTGTAATATCTCGTATTTATCAATAGAAAAAAATGATTCATTGCCTGATGTTTCGTCATGACAATAACGCATTTCACATTGTCTTTTGAATTTACAAGGTGGTTGTAATCTGTAAAAAGTTTTTATTTTAAATCATCTCATTGACTATCACGAATCGCATAGCTATAAGTTAAAGTTTATGGATGATTTTTTTTATTTGTTGAAAATACATGCATACATAGCAACTTATTTAAGTTGCACACGTTCCAGAGCAATCTCTATGCATATACCTCTAAAGAAAGATTGAAAAATGAATAATAAGCAAATGCATGTAATGTGTACCTATCTGATTTTTCAACCTAAATACGCTGAGGCAGAGCTCCTACCTTTTTGTGTCGCTTCTTTTTTGTTTCGGAGAAAGCAGGATCCCACAGCCAAGGTGGTAACTCTAGATCTTCTTGGACGAAGCGTTTATGTCCCATGGTTTACGTCATTTAGTCGCTCTTAAAAATGAAAAATAAATATATTCATCGGTAAAATAAAAAAAATGTTATTTATAATAATATACAAATAGTTTTAATAAATTCAATACTTACAATAAGTACTTAATTCCTTAATTTTTACGGATAAAATCATTGTGAAAAAAATGCACAAATGTCGACTTTATGAGTTACATTTTCCCGCAAAATGTCATATTTTCAATTTAACATTGAAAAAAACCGTGTAAATCTGAATAACAACTGGACCCATTAGGCGTGGGGGTTTTGCGTCCGTTATTTATCATTTTTATCTGTATATAGCTACAACCTTGGTGTTTTGCATTCTACCGTTTAGCGCCCCTGGCAAGGACAAAGTTAAAATGTGCAGTGGAAACAGGTAAAGGGTTATTTTGTAGGATATGCACAAATTTTGCTTTTACTCGAAAAATCATTGAAGTAATTATTTTTGTATACAATCTAATCACGAGGTGTTTGATTAAATTTTAAAATAAACCAATAAATAATTATATTATAGTAAAATGCATTCTAATATAAATTTTTCAAAAGTTCTATATTTATCATTTGTCAACTATTTTTAAAATTTATATTGTGCCTTACGTCAGGTGCTAGGGAAAAGAATGCAATGCCCATATCAGTAACTCTTTGCTGAGCAGTGGCGTAGCATCGTTTTTGAAAGTGGGGGGGGCCAGCCAGAGAAAAAAATTTTTTGACTTACCTGAAAAAGTTGACAAGCAAAAAAAAAAAAAAAAAAAAAAAAAAAAAAAAAAAAAAAAAAAAATGGGAAAGCCCCCAAGTCGAAAATCCTATTTCTTGGTGGTGGTGGTGGTGGTGGGGGGGGGGGGGGGGTAAGGAGACTTTTTTTCTCAGTATCAACTACTTTTAGTACCAATTCTTATACTACATTTTCGGTACGTAACTAAAAGTCTATAAGTGGGGGGGGCAACCAGGCTTTCAATTAACATTTCCTATAGAATAAGTAAGGTTGGGAAAAAAAGTGGGGGGGCCAGCCCCCCCCCCCCCCTGTTGCTACGCCCCTGCTGAGAGAGAGAGAGAGGGAGAGAAAGAGAGAGAGAGAGAGAGAGAGAGAGAGAGAGAACTAGTGTGAGTGTGTCTTATGACTTATGAGAACTATAATTCACAATGAATGACCTACATTTCGAACTGTAGATTAGAGTGACCTCCCTTTGGAAAACAAACGATCATGGCAAAATTTGCACAGAAAGTGGTTCTCATAACAGGTATATATAATTTAAACCTTTTGTGATATTTAGAAGCATCTTTACAGTTCACGTATATATAGATTAAGATGCTTTTTTAAAAACTATCTCGATCGCCCTTTATATCTTGTGATTTTGAACAATGTTGAAAAGGTGTTATATGATCATCTTCTCTTCTGTATAGGTGCCAGTGCTGGTATTGGGGAGGGAATTGCTCTACATTTTGCCTCCTTGGGTGCCCAGCTTTCATTGACAGGTAGAAATAAAGAGGAACTCTCACGTGTAGCTAAGCAATGTCAAGAAAATGGATTGACAGACGAACAGGTGCGAGTTTTCTTTAAAAGTAGATTCTTGTCATTCATCTCTTTGGGGGCATTTAACGTTTTGTATTTGAAATTTTCAAGTTATCATTTTAGATATTAATACAAGAGGGCGACCTTACATCTGCAGAATTTAGAAGCAAACTGTTGAAAAATACTGTTGATAAATTTAAGAGGCTAGATGTTCTGGTGAGTTAAAATTTTAGTAGAACTTTTCTTGTGCAAAAAGTTAAGTATAGGATGATGTTGAAAATGTTGAAAATGCTTACATGATAAAATTTATGGTTAAAATACTTCAAAGAGTCCAGAGTTATGTAAGTTTATCTCAGAGTAACGACGTAAATGAAGTCGATATAAGAGATTGAGACTAGCAATGTAAAATTCATAAAACAAAACACACATTTTATTCATGTATTTTACAAAGGTTAATAACGCGGGAACAATGCACTATGCAAAAACCACAGAAACGACAGAAGATATGTATGATGCGATGATGGACACAAACACAAAATGTCACTTTTTTCTCTCCAGGGATTCCATACCATACTTGAAAGAATCAAAAGGTAAAGCTAGAACTAATATTTTATTCGTTTTTAATGCATAACACAGATAATGTTTTTATGTAATGAAAGTGCATGTATATTAGTTTACAAGTATTCGGTCAAAATGTTCAAGGAATATTAAAATTATCATCATTGTTAGTATAAAGTCAGACAAAAGAATATGATACATGGTCAAGTTTTTAAGACAACTCATTCACAATGTACAAAAACCATATGAATTCATTTATTACACTTAAATATATGTGGATAAATGCAAAATTCATCAAATTCATCTTAAGCAGTAAAATCAAAATTTACAACATGATACAAGGTCGTTTCTTATGTCTACAAACTCTAAATCCATGGCCTCTCCTTTTCCTCCTGCAATTTGAGTTTTCTGTTGTAGGAAACATAGTGAATATTTCAAGTATCTGTGGTCCAAAACCGGTATGTGTAGAGAAAGCCCTCAGATATGATGTTTACAAGGAAACGAAGAACACGTTCTCTTTTTATCTTATTATGAGCACTATTTTCAGATGGCGGAAGTCGCAGTATATTGTATGAGTAAAGCAGCCTTGGACATGTTCACACAATGTCTCTCTTTAGGTCAGTATAATTATGTTTAAAAAATGAAAGGTATATAAAAAAGTTAATAGATTTAATCTCTAGTACATGTAGTCCATGAGCCACTGGGGGTGGTCGGTACCATTTTGGGTGAATAAACTTTATAGTGATATTTGGTAAGGAATACCCCTAACTAGTGAGAAAATGTATGATAGCATCAAATCCGTTGTGGCTTCAATGCTGGAGACACAGTTATTGCCCTTTATTTGCTCAAATTAGGTATTTTGAGCTAAATATATTTGCAACTTGCAAAGTATTTGTCACACAGTTGCCAACGTGATAGAAAGTTCTACCAGAATTACTCAGAGATATGATGAACATATTAAAAGAGCCTTAACTGAGTTAATATCCGTGATTCTGACAAAAATTGCATATTTTTACAACTTTTATTCAATAATTACATGTACCTCATAAATTTGTATAACGAAAAAGATAAGTACCAACACACATAAACTAGCTTAGTTATTCGTCCGTCGGTGACGACGATGACCACTAACTCACCTTCGTGGGGGGAGGGGTTGACCTGGACAGTGGGAGCGGAGGTGACTGCACTGTCAGGCGGATCCTCGCACAAGCAAATGAAGGAGTTTTTCGACTAGAGCCACGCCACCTTCTTTGTAAATCTCAGCTGGGATTGAGTATCCGCCAGGTCTTTTGCCAGTTGACAGCAGACTATTTGCATTCTGAATCTCTTCCAACGTAGCAACGGCGTCCATTGACTGGTTGATGGGAACCTGGGGGTAATCGGATGATGGCTTCGTCGTTGATGGTAGAGAGATGGTTCAGAACGCCATTGAAATGTTCCGCCCACCTGTCGAGTATCTTTTCCTTCTCTGTGATGAGTTTTAACCCGTCATCACTGAGAAGAGGAGATGAGCCTGATGGAGTTGGCCGTAGACTTCCCCAAGTCCACAGTAAACGTTTTCCCTCTCCTGAGTTTCGGTGTAGAGTTGGATCTCGTCAGCTTTGGCATTCAGCCAGGAGTCTTGCATATACCAAAGCTTTTGCTGTACTGTGCTGCGAGCGTTCCTCAGAGCGTCTTTTTGGCTGTGGAGGTGGGATCATCTATATGAGCCTTGTACATGTAAGCGCGATGTTTGTCCTCTAGAAGCTGCGTGATCTCGTCACGGTTCTCATCAAACCAGTCTTTGTGTTTTTTTGTGGAGGGCCGAATACACTCGAAGGCTGTATTGTATATTCTTTTACGAAGTGTGCTCCATGCTGCTATCACGTCGTGGTCATCCAGCACGGTGGATTTCAGGCGTTCTTCCAGAGTGTCAGCAAAGTACTGAGAGGTGGAAGACAATTTGAGCTTGCCAACGTTGAGACGTTTTGAAGCCTTAGTCCCATGAGGACGTATCCTGAGTTTGATCCGGAAGTTGAGAGTTGAAGTTTAAAGACGATGAGACGGTGATCTGTCCAGCACTCCGCGCCGCACATATCCTTGGTGAACAAACGTACTTTCTGTCTGTCTCTCTTCCTGACAATGACGTAGTCAATTAGATGCCAGTGCTTTGAGCGAAGGTGCATCCATGACGTCTTGTTATTAATGGGAAGGCAGAAAACGGTGTAAGTGATGAGAAGGCCATGTTCAGCGCAGGTCTGGAGAAGCAACAGGCTGTTACTGTTGCGCGTGCTCTCTCAGTGCTTCCCAATCACGCCTTCCCCGGTGGTGGTGTCACGTTCAAGTCTCGCATTAGAGTCACCAAGAATTACGAGCTTGTCGGTGTTTGGGACGGCGTTGATGACATTGTGGAGGTTCTCATAGAACTTGTTTTAGCCTTCTCTGGGTAAGTCAGGGTAGGAACATATGCGCTGACAATAGTGGCGAACTTTCCTCGAGTAAGAGGGTCTCATTGTCATCAGGCGGTCGTTCACTCCTTTGGGTACGCCGACTAACTTGCCAGAACATGTCATCTTTATAGCAAAGCCTAACTACGCCAGCTTCTCGTCTCTTCTTGGCTCCTCGTCCTCTTCAAAAGAAGGTGTAGCCAGCTCCTCTTTGACACAGTTGACCTTCTCCATCCATCCTGGTTTCACTTAGAGCCGCGATGTCAATGTTATATCTCGTGAGTTAACATGCGATCAGTGCTGTGCGTGTCTCGGGTCTGTCTGTAGCGTCTCTGTCGAAAAGCGTTCGAACGTTCCACGATCCATGGTACAGTGGGATGATCCTTGTTTGTTTTTTTTTCTTGTTCTCTTTGTTATTTCGACCGCATGTGTATGGTCCCCACCAGCCGCGGTAAACTGGCTAGAGAAGGGTAGAGCTGGCAAATTTTGGAATACCTTTTCTAATCCGCTTCCCTTGCCATGGAGGTGAGCAGTGCGTTTCTTGAGAGGGCTGCTCAATCGCACAGGTGGCTGGCGAACTTTAACGTTGCTTCGGTCGGTGAAGAGCGACCCTAGAGCCTGTTCCGTCTGTGTGCAAGTCCGCGACTAGCGACTTCCAGTGAACCCACACCTGTCACTTTCGTTCCTCGACTGTCAGCACAGGGCTTTGGGGTGGAAGATGATCAATGACTTGCGCGATGAGTTTGATTAAGATGAAGGGTTGCGCGTCGTCGACCTCACCCTCTCGCCCGCAACCATCTAGATCCAGTAGCAACTGGCAAGACATGTCAGGACGCCTGGAGATGGAGACAGATACAGCGGATGACCAAGTTGTGCTATATGTGCCTTGCTCCAAGTGTTTCACGGAGCTTACTGTGTCCGCAATCTTCTCATTTGAACCATGACGGTTTCCTCCACAGAGTCCGCCGGTGCACAATCTTTACATGCTTTATAGGTAGGCAAGTCCTCAATCAACGGGGGTTTGAGACGCGTCAGCGCTTTGTGTATAGAGAGCTCTTCGAGAGGGATGTCCCTTAAGAGGATACGGGTTCCCTGGGTGTCGAGTGGTTACGACCCGATTCCGTGTTCGACCCGCGTGGTAACGACCCAAGTGGTTTCGACCTGCTTATATATGTATATACAGGTAAATAGGAGGGTTCAGGGGTTCACACTATAGGGTATACACATGGATATTCGGTAGCAATTACAGGTGTATGGTTTCAGGTATAAGGGGAATACGTGTCATTAATTGGTTGTCAACATTGAAGTCAAAAGTATAGGTGTTTTTTTTAATGATTTTAGGACAAGGATGTAATTAAATTCATTTGAAATATGATAATAATTTATATCTGAGCATTTTCCCCTTAGAAACAAATTGAACATTCAAACAAATTATAGGTCTTGGTTGGATACTTATTTAATTCATAATATTGTCTGAGTGTTTTATTTTTTACTTATTCACAGTACACAAACATGTCAAAACATTTCTGCAGACTTATAGATAGTTTTCGATGGCCCCAAATTTAGCATAAGTTACCTCCCGTTGGTCGCCATATTGGAGGTCGACACGGTGAGTTTTCCTCTTTGTCTTACCAAGTTTAAGAAAATGTAGCAGAAATATTTGGTGGAAAATCTTTATTAAATAATTTTTTCTTAATAAAGGAGGCTTCCAAAAATTTATATACTTCAGAAAAATAATGATTCCTAATTCAAAATCGCAAATAGAAAAATTTAAAATTGGTTGAACAATGAAGGAATATGAGCATTTGGACCTCCAGTATGGCGGCCAACGGGAGCTAACTTTTGCTGAAATTAGGTCATATGAAAACTATCTATACTGGTAAAGGAATGAACAAAATATGCTGGTGATTATTTCATAATTCTAAAATATCAATAAATTATATCTTTCAGATTTTTTTTCTTAATTTCCCCAGTTTAATAGAGGCTTCAGTATATATAATTGTATATAATTATAAGTCAAGATGAAGGAATAATCACGGATAACAGAAAGAGAGAGAGAACTCATTTTTGTTTTAAATTTTATTCATATTATTTTCTTATTTTCTTTCATCATACTCAATAAATATTGTCACATATAAATATTGAATATTATATGACATGGCATAATAGTTTTCATACAGTAGCTATTAATAAAACACATTGTATCACATTGTTGAAATTGTTAATTAATATTTATTCGGAACGAAACCACTCGGGTCAAAACCACGCGGGTCGAAACCACGCGGGTCGAACAAGGAATCGGGTCGTAACCACGCGGATCGAACAAGGAATCGGGTCGTACCCACCCGGATTCGTTCCCTGTACTCGGACTAGGGGAGGGAAGGGGCGTTGTGAGACACTGTCCACTGCCCACAAAGCAGATATTCTAAGTATATTGAAACAAATGACTGTGCACATATGTTGCTTAATTTTGATGTCAAAAATATGTAACAAATTACACGTTGAACTTAGATGAACATCAATCTAATTAAAATTAGATGTTAGATCCGCTCGCATACTCGCTACACTAACATCTAACAACATCCCATTGAGGGTCACGTCAGAGGTCAAATTCGGAACGGCTCTAGACTTATTCGCATCAACAATATACGACGATTTTGCCAGCGACGATCTGATTGGTTGATAGAATTTAACCTCTGACGTGACCCTCAATGGGATGTTGTTAGATGATAGTGTAGCGAGTATGCGAGCGGATCTAACATCTAATTTTAATTAGATTGGATGAACATATAAGTGTCCATTATCACCGTGGGTTAGGTTGAGATTAAATAAATAAAACATTTTACGCAAAGGTTCTACTTGAGACCTGACATATTCACAATATCTATGTTAAGTAAAGAATATACGCACAAGGTAAATCAAGGGAATTTTTCTTCAATTTTCATTTTCAGGATAGGGATAAAGAAAATATCATTCGAAATAAGATAGAAATTGCGTATTGAAACACCAACCTTCTTCTTTCAAAGACACAGCTGAGAGAACGAACAAGTTGAGTTGGTGTATAGAAACGGTTGATACACCATTAAAGCCACAATCAATTGAATGCTATCATACATTTTCTGAAGGTAGAGATGTATGTCCTTCAAAAATTAACTATGAAAATTATTCACCCAAGATGGTACCAATACCGAAAAATTCATGGCCTGGCTCATGGACTATAGCGATAAAAGCTAGCAAGAGAAAATATGACCATATTTGACTAGATATGAACATTTTGAAACTTCACTAAAGTCCCAAATGGGGTATGTCAGTACAATGAGAGTTGATTATATCATTAATATTTCCAGAGTTGGCCCCCTTTGGCGTACGAGTTAATGCAGTAAAGTAAGTAAATATATGAATAAAATTGAATAGTAAACCAAGCATTTAACGCCTCTCGTCAATTTTTTTTATTGATGTACTTTCTTATTCATTTAAGAATTTGATTGAATTTTAGTCCCGGAACTGTGGTTAGCAAGATAGCGAGACGTGAACACTCGGCGTATCAAGAAGATGAAAAGTATCAAAGGGTAAACATTTTACTTTGAAACTATCATTAATAATTAAAATATTAAGGCATTTCAAGGACATTAAAAAATTTTAACTATTAACTTGTACTGACGATGAACAACTTTCATTTTTTGTTATGAAAAAATCTTGGTGAGATACACTATTATATGCAGAGAGAAATGTCATATGATGATAAATTTTAATTTGAACCTTGAATTGTCTTCAGTTTTTGGAAATGCAGAAATCTAAACATCCCATTGGACGAGTTGGATTACCGGTGGACATAGCGAAGTCCGTGGCATTTCTAGCGTCTGAGGACGCCTCCTTCATCACAGGACAGATTCTATTCGTGGACGGTGGGCGCCATTGTGTGTCGTCTGCTGTTGCTACAAATGTTAAATGAGATGTCATTTTGTTATAATGTACATGAGTCATTAGCATTTAATGTAAATTATAGTGAAAAATAAAATATTTGAAATTGTTCTGGACTATTTTTATTGAATATTAGTAATGTTCTTTGGTTTAAGATGCACCATGATCCCAGGGCCAGGATATTTTTGAATTTCAAAGCAATATCGAAAGATTGCTTTACTGTATCATTCTGATTTTATACCCAAGTACACTGAACTTGTCAGATATGAACATCTTCGCAAGCCAAAGGTTTCCGATCCGAAATCTACTCAACAACAGTTGTAGAGGAGATTTCAGATCGGAAACCCTGCGCCAGCATATGCATAAAAAAATTACTGGAGTTTCTTATTGATAATGCATGTATCTTAATAGTTTTTGGAGACTAGATTTTTCCGTGGGAATTTGCATGGGTACTTTTCATGCCTCATTTTGCCTACCTGTTTTTGCAACCAAAGAGGCAGAGTTTATTATTTTTTTAAAAAAGATATGCACGACAAAACATCTCTTGCTGTCGCATTCTTTTGAAATTGATAATATATTTATTGACAATGCTTTATCACTTCAAAATATTCATTGTCGTGGAATGGAATACTATAGTAAAGCGTCAAACCTTGTACATTAAAAAGTAATTTTTGTCAAAAATCTTATGAAGATGACTGGAGTCGTAAGATAAATATAGTTTGGAAGTACATGTAATTATCTAGGCAAAATTGTTTACAAATAATTTTAATTTTACCTTAAAAAGACATTAAAAAATCTAATTTTTGAAATTCTAAAGTAAAATATTTAAAATTGCAGCCGAAATAAATCGCGATAACTTTTGATCGCGTGACGTTTCCATGCTTTAAGAGATCTGGAAAATCCCGTGGATTTCGTTGATAAGGATCTAAAGTTAAAATGTGAGTACACTGCCGATCAGTTATTTAGTACATTATTAGTTTTAAAAAACCACCAACGATGTTGACAACATTTTATGGGAAAATCCTACTTTTAGTAGTTTGTGAGTATTTTTAAGGATTGAAAAACCCTTTGTGAAGAGTAACATTTTCTATATTTTCCATAATAATTCTTTGTTTATTTCTGACCAGGTTCACAGCTTGAAGCATTTTTATTTAATACGAAACCCCACCAGTGCATCACAAGAGGTAATTTTTAATTTTCAGTTTCAACATATATACAACTAGTTCTAACTTTAATACTTGTGTCGTATTCACTAATTTATGTCTTTCGATATTTTCCTTTATCTTTGTTTCTGACCATTTACTGTATTATATTATCCATATTATCTTTACAAGTACCTTCTGTGTCAACTAGTACAATGCTAGTAGTCGACGCGGAAATCAAATATTTCAGTGTCACTTTTTACCAAAAATGGTAAAAAGAATATTGACGATCCATTATCATATTAAAAAGAAATACATTATTTGAACGATATTCTTTTTCTAAAACAGCAAAAAATATGTACATATATATTTTTCGCACTCAAGATAAAACATGAGAAGAATTAAATATCTTAAATGTGAAAAAATCTAATTTTAGTCTCAATATGTTTGACTTGTGAAAGACCAGGATTCTACCCTGAGATGTACTGCAATAACGTCACCAGGGGAGACTACTGTTTCACCAAAATTGTGCATAACTCATCAGGAATCTTCACTGTTAAGGGGTATGTAGATAAGGACCATGAATGAAATTTATGAAGATAATACATTGTAAATATTATTCAAGCTGAAATGTCCATTTTATTAGCAATACAAAATAGAAGCAGAGCAAATACGGACCCCCAAAACATCAGATCAGGTGCCATGGAGAAATGAGCATCCCCTGACGACCGGTCACACCAACCGTGTGTTCTTTGTCATGATCTGGAAATAACGAAAAAATCCGTCGACAATTCAGTGTGTCAATAACGCCTAACAATTAGTGTGAAAAATGTCAGTCAGCATTTGACTCAATGATAAATTGCATTAGCTGAAAAGGTCATTTTATCAACCATAGAACTTACAAAAAAAATGACTTTAAACGAGACTGCTGATATTCTTGCTTCAGCAACTTGTTTGTCAATAGCGTACCTCGTTTTAAAAAAAATTGTTCATTCGTAGAGCATGTCCTTGCGTATTGAATCAACTGAGAGATATAAACCCCGTATGCTGGTGATGAAGGTATGATGCATAAGTAAGGGAAATTAAAGATTAGAAAGTTAAAGTCATCAGGTTTATCATAAACCTTGGTTGTTAGATTACCATTAATGTCTTTTCGATTAAAATGTCGACTCATTCACGCATGAGGCTTTCCCGAAATTTTGATTAAAAAACTTTCTTTTTCTGGTGTTTTAAAAAGAAGTTGTTTTGTTGCAGTTTAAGGATTTTTAAAAAGTACGTCGTAAATACATATATCTAAATAAAAATAAGAAAAGCAAATTCAAGAATTCTCTAAATTTAATACTTAGATCAGCCAGTTCTGCATTCTGTGATGCTAACAAATACCAGGGGAGCCTAGCGATTCCTGCCTGTAGGACCGGGAATATACAAGAAGGCACGGAATGTGTGGACTGTTGTAAACAATATAACTGTGATCCTCACGACAATTACTGCAACAAGCATATAATACAGGATATTCATATGCCATGTAAGCAGTCAAGTGTATCTGTAGTGTTTTATAAGCATAATAAAGGGATTTCTTAAAGTTACAGAAACAACAACAATAGTGAAAGTGGAAAGGACTGCTGTATATATATCCTATTAAGTGATTGTGCATTTTTTTCTCATACCTAGCAAAAAAAAGAGCCGCAAATAACTAAAGGATATCACATAGAACATCTTTTTGATAACTAATTATATCTCTGTATAGTTACCGTGACAACGCCTAAAACCACGCCTACTGTAATCACCACTGCTCTCCCAACAACAGAAACAACCACAACCACACCCCCATCAACATCAACATCAACTCCACAACGAGGTACGTAGCTATTTAAAAAAATCATTCTCAGCTTCGGGTACATTATTAACTTCCTATAATACCTCAGCTCCAACTACGTTTTACCTTATACCATGACAACCAGCTTTAGATAGGAATTATGTTCAAAAATTCACATAGGCTTGAGGTAAATTAGTATCTAACAATCATCATCCACAACTACATATACCTTACTACTACTACTACTTAATGAACATCAAATCCAGCTCTATGTACGTGATAGCCTTTCCAAATTCACTAATCCTGATTTATATAAATATCTCACCAATAGCGAACACCTTAGTTCGAGGTACGTATCTACATGTACCACATCAATATCTACTCTAGACAAAGGTTCGTATGTATTTTGACAGTATCAACGAATGCTCATGGTACTTAAATGTACCTTGAAAATTTCAACGAACAGTTTTTTGAATATCCTCACCTGTTGCAAAAACTATCGCATTTGTTAGTGTTTTTTCAGCCTTTGACAGTTGACTTTTGAATGTAATGCGTAACTTGCTTTTCATTAGGAGGGATGTGCCAAGTGTGTGTTGAGGGAAATGGACAAAGTTGTGGGCCTACAAGCAACCATTATTGTAGTAAAGGAGAAAATTACTGTATGAACACAGTAATTTCAGATCCAAGAGCTGGGAAAATTGTTGTCAAAAAGTAAGATTTATCATCAAGACTCTATGGTTTTTAAATTGTTGAAATCTTTTACTCTTTAGATTTTTTTGGATACCCAATAAATATTTTTCTCTGTCCTTTAATGCATCAGACACGGATCGATAAAATTAAAATATTCATGAAATTCCAGAGTTTGAAAATATCGTTATTAAGTACTTTTCAAAAACCATATCGATAAGACGTTTGTGTGAAAAGCATAACAAAGTGGGTGATGCTTATCCCTAAGAATGCTTAAAAATCTTCATGAAACTTTACCTGAAATACTAACATTTTTGTAAAAAGATGTCTTTCTTATCCCAACTTATTTATCCCAAAGAAATTGCCCCTACTTGGTCTGTGAAGAATATTTCAATATATCTTTTAATTCCCTCTTAAGATGTGCAGATGAAGTGGAATGCAAATGGAACTATTGGGTGGACACGCTGGGAGATCCTAAATGCAGCAATGTGACCGGACCACAAGAAGACAACGCTTGTAACTATTGTTGTGACAATTCCGACAGTGTGCCGTGTAACCAGGACCCAATACCAAAACATCTCTCTACATTCGATAAACCTCAGGAAGGTAGTCATGTGTATAATCCAACAACTGTTTGAATTCCATATTTTTAAATATAATAGAGCCCTTGACAAGAAAGATTTTATCTCTTGGAACTTTTTATTTCAGTGAAGCAGTGTATAATTGGACATTCAGATAGTCATTTTCAGTTGGATAATTGTCCCCCAACTTCATCGTATTGTCTGAACGAAGTAAGATACGATACAACCGCCAAACATCCAGAAACCCTTGTAATCAAACGGTAAATCTATACTCTTACATCGCAATATAAATTCGAACAAATATTCAAAGAAATTGAATATCCTTACGAGGTTGTTTTAAACAACATTTCGTTTGAAATCAAGGTGTGCTTTGGAGGCAGAATGTAAAGGGCTTTGGTGGGAAAAGACCAGAAAGCGACACGAATGTTTGACCCAGAACTTCACCGGAATACCGGACCAAAACATTGTCTGTACCTTCTGTTGTGTGTCTGAGAACAATGGAGCGTGTAACGGAGCCTCGGTTCCAGACCAGATTGCCCTATTTACACCAGTTACTACCACAAGTAATGATTATCCACTTTTTCTGTAGGTCGAACAATTTTCTTATTAGGAATGTAGTATATATTAAGTGAATACATGGTCAGTGCAAGGTTGGACTCAATAACCAATAGCTGAATAATAACATAAAACAATGTACTTACTGTGAAATCACTAATTTTTGTCGGGGGGGGGGGTATTTTTCTTTGTTCTCGAGGCATGGAGAGACCCATGGATTGATTACCACCACGAAATCTAAAATTTCATGTACATTTCTACTAAAACATTCTCCATCCACGAAATTAAGTCCCTACAAACCAAGATGTTTTTCCTTAAACCTCGAAAATTTAACCCCACGAAAATATGTGATTTTACAACTGATTTTACATCTAAATCAACGTGTATGGTTTTTTGTATCTATTTCTAAAAGAAAAAGGATTATTTAAATGGTATGAACAAACAATTCAGATAATAAAAATTGCTTGAAGATATGAAATAACACGAACAAGGATAGACATGCAGATTTTCATTTCTAAGGTAATCCCACAACAACAAGACCGACGACGACAACAAGTACTGTACAAACAACAAGACACGACCACGGACACCATGACACACACAACCATACAAACCACGGTCATCATCACACAGACACAATACCTACAAGTACCGCCACAACGACCACCACATTGCCATCAACTACAACCACATTGCCAACCACGACAACCACATTGCCAACTACAACTACCACTCCAACAACTACAACCACACCAGCTCCGATCACGTGTTCTGGTGAGTAGTAGGCAGAAATGGAGTAGTAAATGGAATTTTGTAAACAAAGCACTAAGAAACATAATTTTGCATGTTATTAAAAACAACTTGTACTGAGAGTAGAGTGATAAAGGTAACTCTTGATGGCTCGAACTTCGATCTCTCGAAGTTCTTGATCGCTCGAAGTGAGTCTCCGGTCCCGATTTTTTTCCCTATATAACTAAGCAAATTTACTCTTGATTTCTCGAACTCTTGATCTCTCGAAACCCTTGATACCTCGAAGTCAAAATGCAGTCCCGCTATGCATATTCTATTGGAATTTACCCTTGAAACCTCGAAGTGGCTATGTGTATACAATGTTACATAATTAGCGACTTGACCTGGACATTTAAATGGCCCCAGGCAGAAGACGCGGGTCTCGAGAAACGGGATGTTTATTCAGGTAACTGACACTTATACTGCTAGGATAATTGATTTATAATTAATCATATGTTGCCTAACGTTATATGCTATTAAAATGATTACCATCAACCATGATCATCTGTCTTACGATAATTCGGAGAAACGGTGTCAATGAAAAATAGAAAATTTAATACAAGACGAAAAACTAAACAGTTTAATTTTTATTTCGAGTCAGTTTAAGGAAATATGAAAATGCAGAAACAGAGACAATGTCAGAATTATGACTTTTGTTGCACAAATACTTACAGAACTTCGTTCAACGTTTAATGATCATTCATGTTTGCAGTAGTCAGTGCTGTGTACGACGCTGTAAAATGTCGTTTTCATATAACGAATGCGTAGTTAGACGTCCGTATCAAAAAGAATAAATAAATAAACATGTAGTGAATAAGTACATTTTTTATTTACTCAATTTGATAAATATTTATCTACAATACGAAAACATAGCGTTGTTTTATAAACACCACGTATAAATGTTAGCACTGCATGAAAATTATTACATCCGGTAAGACTAATTTCAAAACCGGTCGACAAACCCGGAAAATTCCGGACTTGAAATCTCGAACTCTTGATCTCTCGCGGACTTCGAGGTATCGAGAGTTACCTGTATATGAATTCTTTTTATATTCATTTTAAGCCCCTTTACTTGTTTTTCGTGCTGTAGGGAACGGATCAGTTGTATGTGAAGACGACCCTAAAGCACACTGTGATTCTTTGTCGACATTTGGATTGTGTACACATCTGCAGTATAACCCCGATAGCGAAGACATCAAATTCTGTCCCAAAACTTGTAACCTTTGTGATAAATGTAAGTAATAATTACGATTGTCCCCCCCCCCAAAAAAAATGACAACAGTTATGGCAAACTTCGCAAAGATGATGTGGCAGGTCTAAAATAAACAAAATTACATATTTGTTAATATGAATTATCTGATTTTCCTCCTAGACTGTGACTATGTACTAAAGACGACTTTACCTCCTCCCACAACTCCTCCTCCAAGTAAGTCATTTAATACTGTAATAAGTACAAACATTTCTTTTTCTTCTTTTTTACACTTGTTGAAAAATATTCTACATTTACATATTTATGCATTTCAAAATTGCGTTGAAAACATTAGTTACCTGAAATACTACCGTAATAATCGATGTTTTTATAAGTAGAAATGAACACTGCAAATGGACAGAAGTGTTTGTATGTGCTTCCTATAGTCTTGTGATAAAAAAGCTCAATATGTATGAAGGTTTTTGGTTATTGAAAGTATGTAACCATACATTGTACGCAATATACCCGGGGTATTCTTCTGAAAATAATATTTCGGCCTTTTGAAAAGAGGAACGCGCACAAACGTGGGTATTAAAAGAAGAAACGGAAGAAAGAAAAAAAAAATCAAAAAGTAGGTTTTTAAAAATTAAAGTTTGTAAACAAGTACATTTTAAAATTCGTTTGCATGTGTTGATTTCTCTGTTAATTTAATGTTTTGAATTGAAATTCACTTGGGCATTTATTTAACATTATATTTCAATCACAGTGAAAACAACAAAGGACTTATCAAAATCAGCTACAATGTCTTCTTCAACATCCCAGAGAACAACAGCAGAAATAACGACAAAAACAACAACAAAGAGAACTTCACCAACGACAACTACAACTAAATTGCCCTCTACGACCCAATTAGCGACAACAATAATATCTACTGTGTTGTCACAGAAAACAACAACAACTAAAGTTGCGACAGCATCAACAATGAAATCCACAACAGCATCGACGCTGCCAACAACTACCACACTGCCTCCAGCTCGTAAGGCAATTATAACTATTAACAACATTATCGTAACTATTTTTAAAAACTGATGTTAATTGATTAAAATTTTGCACAAAATTGTATTTTTGAACCAGGAAATAGAAATCTTGGGTTATTTTATTTCAATGGAGTTGTTTCTCTTCTTTTTAAATTGAATAGCATCTACCGGTAATTATAAAAATTTTAAATAAAATAATAAAATAATGCAACTCAAACATGATTTAATCTTAACTACAGAAGTTTTGTCTAAAAGCATTGCAAAGGATGTTATGTATTTGAGTTCTACAAAATTTTTCTGATATCACAAAAGATATTACAATAAGAAATTCCTCTTGTATGCAATTCAATTTTAACCTTAGAACTTTTTATTAGTTTGGAGATTTTCTTATCTAAGATATGTTAACTACATACATGTAAATTTCAAACATTTAATTACATTATAAAATCAACAGTATATCGTAAATATTAACAGGTGAGTGCTATGTTTGTACGGGGCCTGTTTCAATATGTGAAAATCTGTACAACTCACATAGATGTTCGTCTGACAAACCTTTCTGTATCAATGACGTCACCAACAACGCTGACGGCACCAGAACTGTAAACAGAAAGTAAGCAAAACAATCAATAACGAATTAAATTTTAGAAAATCTTGAAAGTCGATAAATAAATTGTATGACGATTCATTATTTTCCATTTTTCATTAGATGCGCGTCTAAAACAGAGTGTGTACAAAGCTGGTGGCTTGGTTCGTCTGGTCGCTCGGAGTGCGCGGGATATGACCCCACGGCTGTTGTTCTGCAGCAGTTTACCTGCTCCTATTGCTGTACTACGCCACTGTGTAACAAAAACTTAGTGCCACGTGATCTCTACACCCAATGAAATCACTTTTTATTTGTATTTGGAATAGGGTTACCAATAAAACTTTAAAAGAGTATTCGTCCTAGTTTCTTTGAATACCTTTTCTTTATGATATATGAATTAATGTGGTTCTTGGTAAAACTAAGATATACCATAAGACCTTGTTCTATTCCTAATTAAGCTAAAAAAAACAACAAACCATGTATATTCGTCGTTTGGTATTGAACAAAAAACGTGGTAGATGTGAACTGTTTGTCAATCATTTCATATGTATCCTGTTGTTTGTATCTTGGCAAAATAGGCACACATAGAGATAAATTATTATTTATCTTAGCATACATACAACAGTTACTTTTCTTTTCTTTTTTTTTTTGCTGATTTTTTTAGTGATATGGTCAACTATAATTACCACTTCTTTTACATCTTATTCGTGATTCTTTGATTGTGTTTTAAAAAATAAATGTTTTAAGCTGAATTTATAATTTGGCTGAGAAATCCTCTGTGTATATCTCTGTAGAAAGAAGACAATGTAAAGTATGCGGGGACGGCAGTAGCAAAAGTCCTTGTGATACCAGGTCCATATTTCTAGGAGCATCTGTGTCATGCCCTGTGGGCAAGGATTTCTGTATGACAGACATCGTTCACGACGAAAATAACAATGAAATGATCTTCAAACGGTAGGAATTCGAAGAGATTACATCTTTACTGGGGGGTTTTTGTTCATATTAGCTCCTTACGATAACTGCGGTACCAAACTTTTGCACCAATTTGAAAAGTATATCATTTTGCCTCCTGCAAAAAAGCAGTACCGCAGTTACCGTGAAACGGTCTATTTAATTTTTTTAAAAAATGTGTTGTTAAGTGTAACGTGAAGCGGTCACCCATCCAAGGGTTAAACAGGCTCGCCGTTGCTTAACTTGCCTGAAATAGAGAGACACTCTACCGCATCACCAGAAAAGCTAGCTCACTGGCGAGGCAGTATAAGTTCCCTATATACTGTTCGCTACACTTCCCCCCGCTCAGGGAAGCTTCGACCCGAAGCTTAGCATGAGTTCTCTCTGAGTATCTGGACCTCTTCAGCTACAGCAACCAATACCGTTCCCGGACACGAAGTCCGTACCTGGACACGAAGTCCAAGTCTTAGAGCTTCCTGAAGTAGGTCGAAACCTGACTTCAGATACGGCAACCCCTGCCGTCCACAGACACGAAGTCTGTATATGGACACTAAGTCCTAGCTTTAAGACTTCCTGTAGCAGGACACCAGACACCCAGAGTCACTACGCTGCCACCAATTTTGTAACGTGAAGCGGTCACCCATCCAAGGGTTAAACAGGCTCGCCGTTGCTTAACTTGCCTGAAATAGAGAGAGACTCTACCGCATCACCAGAAAAACTAGCTCACTGGCGAGGCAGTATAAGTTCCCTATATACTGTTTGCTACATAATTTTTTTTTCATTTTGATGTTTTGACCACATTTTATCAATTTACGATGTTCAACTTGATATATGCGTAAATTAAACTTATCCAATTTAACTTGCAAAATAGACATCATGAAGTCAAACACATTTACTAGCTAGTGTTTGTTTGGATATTTTATAGTAAAGGAAAACGACTTATAAATGTCAAATTAACAACTGCATTTTTGCAGCTGTGTCGATGAACAGACGTGTAGGAACGAGTGGTTGTCTCAGACTTCGGACCAGGACCATTGTACGGGTTACCCTAATGTCCCAGTCAGTGGTGCATTCTCCTGTCACTTCTGTTGTACGTCCGATTCCTGCAACAGTGGTCTTTTGCCTGAAAGTTCGACATTCTATGCTAAAGCAAGTTATAGATAATACAAGGACGATGTCAAAGCTTTATTGCACATGTTTTCCCGCCATTTTATTCTGTATGTATGTTTGGTTTTAAAGGTTAATAAATTTTATTCAAGGTTTAAACAATTTGACATCAATCAGACCAATTCCATACTAAAACGATATTCAGACCAATTCCTTACTAAAACGATGTGGATAATTTGCTAATAAATTTTCTAGTAGATTACAGCTGAATCATATTCAATGTGGCTTTCATACGTCGATTGGATATTCAAAAACTCTTTCCAAGTACTTAATAAAACAGTTTCACTGTGAAACAATATTTTGAAAATCTTGGATAATTTTTATCTAATAACAAAATCAGGCAGTCAATAAAAATAATACATATATTTTGAAGCTGAATTGTGAAATGCAAGCTCCCCTTCAGTGGCTTCCTTAACTTTTGGCGTTTTTTTTACTGTTCTCCTGGCAACCATATATGAAGGATATAGAGATAACGTACAGTATTCAATCTCAAGGTCCATAAAACGATACAAAATAAGAGCAGAGCAAACACGGACCTCCGAAACATCAGAGGTGGGATCAGGTGCCATGGATCATCCCCCGCTGACCGGTCACACTCGCCGTGTGTTCCTGGTCATGATCGGGAAATAACGGAAAAATCCGTCGTCAATTCAGTGTATAAATAATGGATTAACAATAAGTATGAAAAACGTCAGTCAGCATTGGACTCAGTGATAGCTTGTATTTGCTGACTAGGTCATTGTATCGACCATAGAATTTACGAAATGATGGCTTTAAACGGGACTGCTGATATTCTTGTTTCATCAACTTGCTTGTCAAAAGTTGACCTCGTCAATTAGAAATTGTTAATACGTAGAGCATGCTTTTAATTGTTCATACGTAGAGCATGTTTTGCGTAGACAATCAACTGAGATATATATATATATATACTCCGTATGCAGGTGATGAAGGTATATTGCTGCATAAGTAAGGGAAGTTGACGATAGAAAATACCATTAACGTTTTTCTTCAAGTAAAATATCCAAGTATGAAGCAGATGTGCCAAACTTAGTGGTATTTTTTAGCTCAAGCTCACCAGGATTTATCGTATCCACGTAGGAATAGAAATAACCATTGTTAATTGACAATACGTCGTCGATATATCTAAATGTCGAGTTGAAGGCCACAGCAAGTGTTTTCTTCTTTTCACGCATAAGATTTTGCACAAATGCTGCTTCATATGAATATAAATAAAGGTCTGCTTATAATGGAGCGCAATTGGTACCCATGGGAATTCCAATAGATTGTTTGAAAACCTGGTCTCCAAAAACCACATAGATATTGTCAATCAGAAACTCAAGCATATCTTTGATGTCAACTTCAGAGTACTTGTGTGTGCAATAAGAATGTTTTTTTTTTGCAAAATAATTTTGCAAATGACCATGACCACGTAAGTAAATTTACGATGTCCATTTTTATTGAAAAAGAAGCTGTCAATGATATCAAAAAGCCTGGACTTTAATTTATCGTGGGAAGTGGCTGTGTATAAGGTTGAAAAGTCGAAAGTTTTTAAACTGTTATTCATTCATTCAATCTTTATTTCCTCATATTATGAGATTATTTCACAATCAGATCAAAATCAATTAATCAATATACATGTACAAAGTTAGAAGAAGAAAAAAAAATCAAACAAAAAGAAAACGAAAGTGAAAAAAATAGTTGATGATTATATACAACGTATTACTTCATACAAGAGGAAATTTGTCAATTGTCCCCTACTGGCATTTTTGATGCATCGCCCTGTAGTACTGTGCCGATGCATCTCGTATAAGTCGGAAGTTCCTTACATGGAAATTTTCAACGTCATGTTCTGCTATCCTGGTGCTTGGAGCGCGACCAAGGAGTACGACATACAGATCTTCTTCGGTGAGCGCATATAGTTCAGCTGAAAGTTCAATACAGAAGGAGTTTATGATGTCATTCCACCAGTTGTTCCGGATATCCGAAGTGATGGGGCACGAACAGCTAACATGGACAAACAGATCACGGAATGCAGTCCCACAGAATTGACAGATATCCACTAAGTCACGCGGCGGGTCAGAAAGGAGTTTGCATATGAATTTGTATAAACGAATTTCATAGCAATTCTTAGGTGTTCGCCAGAAGGAAGATGGGTCGTTATCACTGAAGACTGCAAGAAACCTAGAAAATCAGTGTTGTTCGCCATACGACATTGTCTAAGCTCCTTCTGTTTTCTGCTGGTTGAAGATCTTACAATGTTTCTCCAAGTTATCTTGGAAGGAAAAATGCCGTCAGATACCCACTCGTACAAGATATGAAGAAGATCATATGCACACAGTAAGTTAATGGCATCTGGAACAAATCCTTGTTGGCAATTGCTAAGGTTAGCAAAGAAGGAAAATAGACGAACTAAAAATATTTTCTTTGGTAAACTATTGCAGTTCATACGGCAAAGACGTCCAAAGAACAAGAGTTTCCTTACGTCTATCTCGGCATTTATTGGAAGGACGTTGAAGAGGCTTTCACAGATATCGGGTCTATTTTGGCGTGGAAGATTCTATGAGGACTTACATATAGAATGTTGGAAAACATGAAGGCGTTGGGAATCTGTTACTGACAAGTTATTCCACAGTTCGCAGCCGTACAATACAGATGGCAGGATCACCGATTTGTAAAGATGGACTAAGGTTAGAGGATTAAGGTAAGGAGATCCAATGTCTGTGAGAGCATAAAAGGAGTTTCTTCCTTTCCTGCAGGCGGCATTTATTCGGTCTGTTAAGGAACAGTTTCGGTTAAGAATTATTCCTAAGTGGTTGCAGGAATCCAGACATGGAATAGGAACATCACCTAAAGTCCAAAAGTGTTGCTGGTTAACTTTATTGCCTTTGGCTCGGAATCGAAGAATACAGGATTTGGATGCGTTGAATTTAAAGCGCCATTTTCGGGAATATTCAAATGCGTTATTTAGCATGATTTGTAGAGAGTTAGGTGTTAAGCCTATACATGAAATGTTATCTGCCAGTGAGGGACAATTGCTAGCAACATTGAGTAATTTCGTACATGCTGATGATTGTTCTAAGGTATTAATCAATTCATCAATAATTACTAAGTACAAAAATGCAGACAATACACCACCCTGTCTAACACCTTGTTGAACAGAGAACCATCGAGACTGTGTTTGGTTAACAATTACAGCACTTGAAGTTTTATAATGACAATCATTAATAATAGACCAAAGTCTGTCCGTTACACCTAAATTGTACAACTTGTAAAGGAAACCATGTCTCCATACAGTATCGAATGCTTTTGAGCTATCTAAGAAACTTACATAAACATTACTTCTTGTTCCAAATAATAATATATGGTTTCTTGTAAATTAAATGAAGCGGTTAAACAGTCTAATTTTTCTTGAAACCATTGTTGTTGCTTATTAGGAAAGGAAAGGTTACAAGGGATATGGTTCTTAATTCTAAGGTTAATTATGCTTTCAAAGATTTTTAGAAAGCATGACAGTAAGGCAACCGGTCTGAAGCTATTTGGAGATGTTTTAGGTTTGTCTCCTCCTTTGTATAAGGGAACTATAAATCTTTGCTTCCAGGCATGAGGTATCTTCCTATGTAGTATTGCAGCATCAAAAACTTTTGCAAGACATTGACATAACTTGCTCCCACCGAAAATTATGTGTTCGTATGTTATTTGGTCAGGACCCGGAGCTTTTCTTCATTTGAGTTGGCTAACTAGAAGTGAAATTTCTTCTGCAGTATTAGGACCACCGGGGATATCTCCAGACATCTTTGAACATTCTTCTTCAATGTGCTTATAGCTGTTCTCAATATACATTCGGAATCCTTCATCACATGCATCGTCTTCTGACGGGATGTAAATTTGTTTGTAGTATCTTGCAAAGGCTTCAGCTACACCCACAGGGTCATCATAAATAGTTCCATCTTCTCCATGTATTTCGGGGTAGGTCCGCGATGTTCTCCTTTTTTGCCTCTTCACCAGCTTCCAAAAAAGACGAATGTCACACTCAGCTGCGGAGTCAAGATCATGATAGACGTCTTTCATGTGCCGTTCGTACTCCAAGTCCAGGGCAGTACGGAATTGTCTCTTGGCACGCTTATAGTTCCTGTATGAATTGTGGATCATTCCCCTCGGTCTTCCTTCTGCAATCCAAATACGGCACAGTCTGCGTTCGTCGGTGTGCAGATCCTTAACTTCTTTTGTCCAACCTGTTCGTGTATGCGGATTGAGGCCTGAATGCGGTATGTTACTTTTTGCCGAGTCCAAGAGAATGTCGACAATATTATTTACAAATATATCTGTTTCGGTCACAGTTTGTAGATCTTGATGCATTAGGCTCTCCATAGCTTCATTTACGTGGGCTTTATAATTCATAATAGCATCAGATGTTGCCTTATGCCATGCAGGTAATCTTGCTTTAGACAAAAGTAAGGAATGTTGAGAGCATTGGATATCTAACTTTGCCAGTACAGGGAGATGATCTGAAGTAATTGGCAGTGAACCCTCATAATATATTTTGTACATCGAAAGTTTGTCAATTAAGCGTTTGCTAAATAAGACATAATCTAACATAGTACATTTTGGCATAAAAGAAAACTGTTCACCCGTAACCTGAAAGTCTACAATGGGTATACCAATATCATTTCGTTTAACAAACCCACAGAAAAGATTGTATTTTGTAACATTCGTATGGAGTTAACTAATACAACTGCTGTTAAGATCACCTGCTATTAACACATTACCATATTCACTGTAGTATTTATACAAACTTTCTAAAACATTAAGTTCATATTCATATAAGAGCTGATGTTACCATCTGCAGGTAAATATGCCCCAAATATGTACAACCTCTCAGTGCTTGTTTTTAGTTCGACTCCAATAATCTGTTTGGATTCGATTTGAATTTCTTTGGATGAATATTCTAAGGATTTGTAAATTAACAAAGCAATTCCACCTTTACCTATAAAGGATACATTAGAGGCGTTATACACTTCGTTGTTATCTACTTTGACAATGCTGTAATAGTTCTTATGAATAGAGTCTACATCTGATTCACACCACTTCTTGAATATATTGTTGCACGGTACTTTTGAAGTTTTTCCGTCACTACTGTCAATATCTCAATGAGGAGTAACGAAAGAGGCTTGGTTGAACGTTTACTGGAACCCGCAACGTATCTTTGTTTGTAAGGATTTTTAAGTTTCGGAATCCAGTATATATATAAACTGCATGAAATTACAACAGGCGCAACTATCATTAAACGGTTCTACCATGACTTAAATGATTATTTAAAAGATCCAAGTTTCAAACAGTGAACAAAATTCGAGTGTTCCTTTGAAATTCGAGTACTCGTGTACTTATTTATCGAATAATACTGATGGCAAAATCTCGTATGAAATTACAAATGTTCAAAATGAAACACTTTATCCTTAAATAGGAAGAAATGCAATTTTCACATAATCACGGTGCAAGATAATGCATGAATAGTCCCAATAAGAGTTTTAATGCAAAAAAGTTCAAAAAATTGGTTTACAAAAAAAATTGAAAGCAGTTATATTAAACTACTAGTATTAGAAAAAAAACAAGCACTCCCGCAGTGACGTGAAATCAAAGATGGAAGCTTAAATTGAACAAGTGAACGACGCTGACCGTCAGAAAACTTGGAAGTGCAGTAGTAGACGGGATTTGCTGTACGTGGTAAGTTCCCCAGTAAATAAACAAGGTGTTCAAGAGCCGTGCAAGGCAAGTACAGCGTCCTGCTTTGAATGAATACTTTTCTTCTCAACTTGCGTCGTGTAACTCGTCGAAGCCAGTTCAGAGAAAAAATTATTTTAATTGTGCTTAAACACAACGATAATTGCATTTAAATGCGAAAGATTGCGTTAAAACAAAATGTAAATTGCATTAAACGAAAAATGTACATGAATTTATTGAAGTTATCACAACACGTGTACCAATCGTACATATATATATATATATATATATATATATATATATATATATATATATATATATATATATATATATATATATATATATATATATATATATCTGTTAAAACGAATGTCCAAATAACTGTATCTCACTTCTATTCTCAATGACCGTGTAGTGTAGGACAGCGCCGCGAGAATTCCATCGGCATCGAAAGCAAGTTTTTGACTTGCCTAGATAGCCGAGCGGTCTAATGCGCTGTTCCTGCACTGCTAGGAGACAGATTCCGAAGGTCGAGAGTTCAACCTCGGGCTGGGGCGGAAGTGGGTATCCATGTAAAAGTGAATTTCTTTGTGCTTTCTATATATATATATATATATATATATATATATATATTTAATTTAAGAAAAATCCAGTGTTTTGTACAGTAAAATTTGTCCAATGAAAAAAAATTCAAGAATCACAAGACTCGAACACTTATCTGCAGTATACGCCGATAAGATTTTGTATGCACAAGCAAACAAACTCTTTGCCACGAACGTTGTATATTTGATCTTCAGAATGATATCATTATTTTACGGAATTTTTTTACCTGTCATAGTATGTAAGTATGCATAGTATGAAAATATGCATCACAATTTTGCCTTTTGTAATTTTTTTTCTGGATGAATGAGGATAAATATTTTTTTTATATTGACCAGGTTTTCAAATTGAGGCATTTTTATTCAATACTAAACCTCATCACTGCAATACTAGAGGTAAGGTTGATTCAAATTTGCATGTACATTTGAACAAAACACTGCTTTGTACCTTATGACAAAATAGGAACATTATTATTTCGTGTGTGTGCATTGCTGATTACACCTGTGCTATTCCCAGAGTATTATAATTTTTTATTTTCTTCTTTTTTGTCCATTTGCCTTCAGTGTCCTCTAATCAAAATTAAACTGTCTAGTTTAACTCAACTACACATGTATATGCGAAAGATTCTCTTAAATTGCAATGGCGATAGTCTTATCAAAGTAACATTTTTAAAAACATAATTTTATTTATTAAAAAAAAAAAAAACCAGAATTTTTTTTTAAAGTATAATTTTAGCAAGCCTCTTGGAATCGTGTATGATTTCAAATAGAAAGGATTTCTGAAAACTTCATGAAAAATAAAAAAAATATTCTACCATATAGAAAACTGTACTCTTTGGGTAAATACGAATATATTTATACTGCTCAACTCCTCCCTTTTTATTGTGCGCTTGCGTAGGAAACTAAAAGAAGTTTTCTTGTCCTCATGTCCATAAAATAAATATTTTGATGCAATCTCGTAAAATCGTCTTATTTTTGTGCTCCGATTTTAACGTGTTTAACACAATAAATATATAGCAAGCATTTTTTTCAATTCTATCATTTTGCATTCTTTGCTTTTCACAGTGCAGTTGATACGTTAAATTCATTTTATTCTAAGGGGAATATATATATATATATATATATATATATATATATATATATATATATATATATATATATATATATATATATATATATATATATATATATATATATATATATACATGTATCTTCAATTTTTCTAATAAATAACTTATCCCTTCTTTCTCTTTTCAAAAATATGAAATACACTTGTACTTTACAATAACAATTAACCATTTACACCAGTTTCAGTGTGTCTGACCTGTGAAAGACCGGGCTTCCATCCTGAGATGTACTGCAATAACGTCACCACGGGAGACTACTGCTTCACCAAAATTGTGCATAACTCATCAGGAATCTTTACGACAAAAGGGTATTTTGAGTAATGTTATAGCGTTAATCAATAAATTATGACAAGAGTCTGTTGGTTTTTTTTAATACTATTTTCATATTTTTAAAAATTGAAACAGACATTGAAAATATTTATTTAATAAACTCATGAGACAGAATATGTTTTATGCATGAATATCAAACAATTATTGTCAGATTATATATAACTAGACCCTTATATAATAAAATTACTATTAGATTATTCTTTGAAACTAAAGGATTTTTGGTATAAAAGTCAAATGCAGCCTGTCACAAATCGCTACACAGAAACAATTATTACTGTTCAATTTTGCATGCCAGGTAAAATATCAAAATACAACGCTTTATTGTTTTGTGTAGCTAACAAGTACAAGATAGTAGCATAGCAATTCTTGTATGCTTGACCGTGAACATCCCACAAGGCATTGAGTGTACCGACCGTTGGTCTTAATTTCTGAATTTTCCCCATACCATATTTTCGATTAATAATAACTTATCTTTTTTAGCTCTTTTTTTTTTTTTTTTTTTTTTTTTTTTGCAGTTTTAGGATTTTTAAAAATTACACCGTAAATACATTCATACTCGAAAATGTATCTAAATTAAATAAAATACAATTTTAAGAATTCTCTGAATTTGATACTTAGATCAGCCAGTTCTGCATTCTGTGATGCCAACAAATACCAGGGCAGCCTAGCGATTCCTGCCTGTAGGACCGGGAATATACAAGAAGGCACGGAATGTGTGGACTGTTGTAAACAGTATAACTGTGATCCTCGCGACAATTACTGCAACAAGCATATAATACAGGATATCCATACGCCATGTAAGTTGTGAATTGAATCTGACGTGTTTTATATACACAAATGTATGCCTGATAGTGGCCAATTTTAATGAAGCGCTGAATTGAATTTAAAGAGATTTCTTAAAGTTACAGAAACAACAACACGTAATAGTGAAAGTGGAAAGGCCTGCTGTATATATATCCTATTAAGTATTTGTGCATTTTTTCTCAAACCTAGCAAAAATACCTAATTATATATCTGTATAGTTACCGTGACAACACCTAAAACCACCCCTACTGTAATAACCACGGCTCTCCCAACAACAGCATCAACCACAACCACACCCCCATCAACATCAACTCCACAACGAGGTATGTAGCTACCTAAGAAAGAAATCATTCTCAGCTTAGAGTATGTTATTATCTTGATAATATACCTCAGCTCCCAGTACGTACTTACCTAAGACCTTGACAACCAGCTTTAGATAGGAAATATGTTCAGATGAGGTAGGAAAGTATCTTACAAACATCATCCACAACTACATATGAATGTACGTTAATACTTTACCAACATCAACTCCAACTCTATGTACGTGATAACCTTTCCAACATCACCAAACTTGATTAAAATGAATATCACCAATATCACTCATGTACGCATCAACATGTACCACACCAACATCCACTCTAGATTAACGTTCGATGTACTTTGACAGTATTAACAAATGTCCATAGTACTTCGCTGTACTTTGAAAATACCAACGAATGCTCGTGGAATTACTTGTACAATCAAACTCAAGGAAGTTCTTTTAAAATAACCTCACCTTTTGCAAAATTAAAATATTGCATTTAAATAACTGGGTTTTTTTAGTTTTACACGGCTGACTTTTGATTGTAATGAGTAACTGGCTCTTCATTAGGAGGACTTTGCGAAGTGTGTGTTGAGGGAAATGGACTAAGTTGTGGACCTGCGAGAAACCATTATTGTAGTAAAGGAGAAAATTACTGTATGAACACAGTAATTTCAGATCCAAGAGCTGGGAAAATTGTTGTCAAAAAGTAAGATTATACCCGAGAATCTATGTTTTTTTAATATTTTAGGTTTTTTCCACTTAAGTTTTTTTTGTGCTCAATCACCATTTTTCAATGTCGTTCGAAAAAAAATCTAGAAATCCTGAAATTCAAAAGTTTGAAAATACTGTATAAAGCACTTTTCAAAAATCATATAATTATATCGATAAGACTTTTGTGAGAAATGTATATTAAATGGGGCGATGCTACTCATTCAGAATGCATATGTAAATAGTTAATACTGGATTACTTGGTCATTTACACTCTTTACCTGAGATTCCCAATACTACTCAGTATATCTGTGAAAAAAGTGTTTATCAACCGCACAAAATCTCAAAACACTTCTCCCCTACTCGGTCTATGATGAATATTTCAATAATTCTTTAAATCTTAAGATGTGCAGATGAAGTGGAATGCAAATGGAACTATTGGGTGGACACTCTCGGTGATCCTAAATGCAGCAATGTGACAGGACCACAAGAAGACAACGCGTGTAACTACTGCTGTGATAATTCCGACGACAGGGTGCCGTGTAACCAGGATCCAATACCGAAGCATCTCTCTACATTCGATAAACCCCAGGAAGGTAATCATGTGTATAATCCCAACAACTGTTTGAATTCTATATTTTTAAACATGATTAAGACCTTGACAAGAAATATTTTATCTCTTGGTTCTTTTTATTTCAGTGAAGCAGTGTATAACAGGAAATTCAAATAGTCATTTTCAGTTGGAAAATTGTCCCCCAACTTCATCGTATTGTCTGAACGAAGTAAGATACGATACAACCGCCAAACACCCAGAGACTCTCGTAATCAAACGGTAAATCTAAACTTAATATAAATTCGAACGGATTGTTAAATATTCAAGGAAATAAAATTTCCTTGCGAGGTTGATTTAAAGACCATTTCATTTGAATCAAGGTGTGCTTTGGAGGCAGAATGTAAAGGGCTTTGGTGGGAAAAGACCAGAAAGCGACACGAATGTCTGACCCAGAACTTCACCGGAATAACGGATCAAAACATTGTCTGTACCTTCTGTTGTGTTTCTGAAAATGGGGTGTGTAACGGGGCCTCGGTTCCAGACCAGATTGCCCTTTTTACACCAGTGGCTACCACCAGTATGTGATTTTCCCCTTTTTCTGTAGGCCGAACAATTTTTTCCTTAAGTAGTGAAGTGTATTAAAAAACTATTAATAGACGCATAA